AGTATGGTATAAGTATTATGAATGCATATATGTTAACAAGTGCATCACATTGTTTGAGTAGGTGCATATCTCTTCTCGATTATTACTTAACTACTTCTACAATGCATCGACTATGCCACAAACAAAGAGCTACTTGTTTCACTCATAACTGAGTTCTACAAATCCAAAAACAGTGATCCAGGACTTTCTAGAAAGTTATCAAATTCTCTACCACTTTGTTATTAACCATTTTTACAGTACACATCAATTTCAACATGCAACTCATCACACTCTAGAATTTGTCCGGAAACTATTCCAATTCGCATTATAAAGTAACGATACCTCTACTTCATATAAGTATTCAAAGTCTTATCATACAAAGCCTACCAACAGTTTAAGCATACCAAATACATTTAAGAAAATATAATGGTGAAGCCCAAACTATTTATTTAAATGCCTTTATTATTTTCTTTGAACCCCTAGGTTAAATAATAAACCTATACCAAATGTGCATCATAAATTCTAAGAAAATTACAGTGCTTTACTAATGCTATCAAAAGACTACTGTAAAAGTTTCATGCTATTTTATTCAATAAAACATCCTATACAAAAATGACAAGGCATAAAGGCTTAAAATAGCATAAATAGAAAACTATATTGAAAAGTGTCAAGCAACAGATTTCCTATTTTTCTTATCATCCTTAGGGTACTAGTATACCCTCCAACAAATTTCATGAATTTTAGATTCATAATTAATTTATTAAAATTTATACAAGGATTCACTATTTATAAAATAAAAATCTATAACTATAGATCTACACATGCACTGATCCTCAAATTTTTACCAGAGTTCCTACATGACAAGAATAGCTTACCACAAAAATTTCAAAATTTTTGGAGCACAGGAACTCTAGATATAAAACAAACAAATTTGAATGCATTCAAAAGCACATTTCAAATCCCTATTTAAATCTCAAAAAATTTCTACTGTATAAGTCAAAAACATATTTTTCCTAAATACTTAACTTCCTAATGAACACTACCAAATTTATTTCACAAATTTTGAAGCTACCTAGCTCAACTTATCAAATTTCCAAAGTGGCACATGAAACATGAACAAATGAACTAGCCCACTTCACTTCTGTCGCTGACAGGCGGGACCCTACTGTCAGCCGGCCCTACCCACCAGTGAGACAAAAACATGGCACGGCACCGCGACGGCGCGGGGGTGGTGCTAGCTCACCGGCGGTGACCCTTTTGGCGACGAAACCTGGACTACCGTGATCTCCTTGACCTAGTGTACGCGTGGAGCTATCTAGGTGGGCGGATGACCGACGCGAAGTACGGTGGCGACGACCATGGCGGCTCAGTGGAGTTGGACGGCGGCGCTACTCCGGTGGAGACCATGGAGATGCAGAAACAAGCTTGGACGTGCATCTACACACTACGACGAAGCTACCGCACCCACTATTACTGCTAGAGGTGGTCGGAGATGCCCCGACCACGGCGAGTGCGCGCTCCGACGAGGCGCTAGTGATGGCGGCGGCGACGGAAACGGCCAATGGGTCCTCACCTTGGCTCCAATGCGACTACGAAGGGGTCAAGTAGGTAGGTCGAAGCACGATGCGTCTACGGTTGCAAGAATGGCGTGACGGTTGGCTGGCGAAGGAGCTGCGCGGCGGCGATGGCTACGGTGGAGCTGCTGGAGTTCGTCGGCTGTGCTTGGGGTGAAGAAGGAGGCGGAAATGTGATACTGGAGGCGTGGCTGAGTGCGGGCGGGTGCTGGGGACTTGAAGGCGCGCGTCTGCCTGCCTTGGCCGCGCTGGGCAGAGCGCCGGCGACGCGCGGCCAGCCACGACGTCCACGCGGCGCGCGGACTCTGCTCCGGTCGGCCACTGAAGAACGGGCGGTTCAGTTCGTCAGTCATTCGATGGCCGCCTGACAGCGTGTTTTCAAGATGATTTATCGGCTAATCCGTGGCTCCTTCGTGCAAACATCCTGAATAGATTTTGTAGACCTATGTACCATTTACAATATCTATTAAGAAACCTTCTTCTAATTCGCAACAGATAGGGAGAAAAATCAGTCCAAAGTTGAGCCTGTCAACTGCCATTGTAAAAAGGACTTAGAAAAAATTCGTTAAGTAATGAAAGCTTGGTTTTGCTGGTTTTTGGGGGACCCATTCAAGCATGTTAGAAGCTAAATCAGTCCATGACCCAAAAATCAAAGTTGTTCCTTATGTCAAACACTACAACTTTGCTTTAGTGAACTCCTCCATGCAAGGTCCCTAACACCTAGTTCCAAATTGGTCAAACATGTCACATTTAAACGATGAAACACATTAAAGCATGGCTTAATGACCTAATTACCCCTAACCATGAATACCAAAGTTGTTCATAATGATACTCTACACATGTTCAAGCAATTCACAAGGTCACACCATCATTTCATGCAGTGGTCACTCATAGAGCTATCCAGGTCAACACATGTACTATTACTTAAGTGCTTGATCATGAAAGGTGACCTTCATGAACAAGGTTCCTTTTGTTAACCTAAGTGTAGCTAAGGTGTTTTAGTGACTAGCATTACCCCCTCGCATTCATTTGCACATGATCATATGCATATGTTCCAAGAAACACGAGATAACAAGCAATGTTTCAAATGTTTCGATCAAATGTTTCAATTGTAAATGATGATTTATGAATGCTTGATGCTCATGCTCATGTTATGCAAGTCAAGTTATGCAAGGCTAACACCCGAGGTGTTACAGAATTTATAGTAAGAACACTGAACATATGTAGAAAACCAAGACACCAGCAGAAAACCAACCAGTGCCACCTCCTAGTTCTTTTCATCAGCATTGCCCTCACCAGATCTGCAATGCTACAATAATTCTTGTATACCTCATGTTCAAGCAAGAACCAAAACAGTGAAGCGACTAGGAAAAGGTGAGAAAAGAGATTTGCGGATCGGATCTATCGCCTCTCTGCCACAACACATGATGGAGACGGACTCCAATGACACCGCGCTCCACCGGGAAGACCCGCCGCCTAGCCTCCAATAGGACGCTTGAGCCACCATAGCACACCAGGGATCCCCCGCTGCCGCCACCTCCGCAAGTCCAACGAGCACAGATTTGTTTCCACTTGCAGAGGATACATCCAATATATAAGTCAACCTATCCACATAGAGGACATATACTACTAATAGGACTCTAAAGACATGTCAACACAACCAGGCGTCTAGCATAATGGTGAAGACGGTCTATTTGGTCTCGGGTTCGACCCTTAGGTCTTATGATTTTTTTGAGTTTGAATTTATTAAACCGGGCGGCAACAAGTGACACGCAAGCCGTCGGGTCCCATAGGTCGGATGGAGATAGAGAAAGATTCCACAGGTACACGTGACACGTAAGCTATTGGGTCCTAAAGGTTTAATGGTCCCATAGGTACACATGATACGTAAACCATCGGGTCCCATAGGTCGGATGGAGATGGAGAACGGTTTCATAGCTACACGTGACACGTAAGCCATCGGATCCCACTGGTCGGATGGTGAAGGGTCCCATAGGTACACGTCGGATGGAGAAAGGACCGAACGGAGACTTTTGTGACAAATTGCAAGCGTTATGGATGAGTAACTGTAGGTCCCACAGGTTCACGTCGGATAGAGAATGGTCCCACGGGTACACGTCGCATGGAGAAAGGACCAAACGAGAGACTTTATGACGAATTGCAAGTATCATGAATGACTAACTACAGGTCCCACAGGCATACGTAAGATGGAGAAAGGACAGTGTGGAGATTTATGATGAAGTATCGTTCGTTACAGATCAAAAACTTCATCACAGATGTGTCATTAGTTCAATGACGACGTCCTGGTCGTCACAGTTCTAAAGAGGATCGTCACAAATGAGTCGCGCGAGTGATCTGTAACGAAACTGTGTGCTCTTCTATGACGCTTCTTGTGATGATATCTGATTTCATCATAGATAGCGAGGGTTAGAGGATCGTCATTAAGATTTTCATCATAGAAGTGAATATTTCTAGTAGTGATTGGTCGCTGGTTCCTCTGAAGCTTGGCAACTGCCCAGCACTGGTTCTGCTGCGTGCCGTGGTGCTAGGGCGGCTGCGTGGCGCGGCGTTGGGACCGAGGGCGGCGGCGGGCGACGCTGGAGCCGGACGTTGGTGGTGGAGCGGTGTAGTGCTTGGGCTAGGTGCTGGTGGCGGGCGACGGCACCCTGATTTCTCCTATAAGACAGCTCGATGCTCTATGCGTCGGATGAATGAGTAGAGTTGATGGGACAGGAGAGAAATAGGCATGCAGTCGATAATCAAATGGGCCTGGAGTACGATGAGCCATGTCTTAATAATTAGACAGGCAATGCAAATGAACCTGCAATCCGAACGCGAATGCATTCGTATTTTAATATCAAATTTATAACCGATTAGAGTTAGTATTCTCCGTGCAATCCGTGCAATTATAGTACTAATAAATATTTATGTAAATAAATATATCGAAATCAAGCTCTGGTTTCATAGCTACGTTCTAGGTATATCGTCTAAATTATCTAGGGACCCTGTTCCACTCTTCGAATCAATCATCCCGAAGAGATATACCCTCACGAACCGGGGACTTAAAATTTTCAATCCATGTACCGGTTTCTCATACCCTTCATATCGAGAACTCTATGACACCGGTACGAACCAAACCAAAATAAATTGAAAGCAGCGACGTGTTCGATCTGCTGTCCGTGAACTTCTAATGTATAAATTAAGTGAACAAATTGTAAAATTATATTTACACAAATAAATGATTTCTCCTTTTTTGAACACAACTCTCAAGTACGAGTATTTATTTCTTTTATGTTGCAACGCAGGATCATATTTTCTAGTGACTCTAAAATACTATATCATCTTGGATCAGGCCCATCAGCTCACCGTGAGCCCTCAACAGCTTTTTTTCCGGCCCACAAGTATCCGAAAACAAGCCGATTCATCAACAAACCAATCATGGCCCCATCATGAATCCACGCTCTCTGTGGTATCATTCTGCGGCGCCTGCTTCTGCAGCTGCCAGTGCAGTCCAGGGGAGCCGCGTCCGGTCCACGGGTTGCCTTCTCTTGCTAGCTCACCTACTCGCTCCTCGCAGTTGCAGCAGCGGACGAGCCGTCGAGGGAAACGCAGCGCGCCGCCAATCATCCCCCTCCTCTGCCCTGCCCTCTCCTCCCTCCCGGCGCCAGCTCGACGCTCGGCCCCGCGGGCGCGATCCGTCGCCACAGATCCGCGGCCTCCTCCCCGAGGCCTGCCTGACCGCCCCATGCTCGGGTAGGGCTTTTCAGTTTTCCCGTTCCCCGTGAGCCACTCGACCGGCCGACGCAGCGGAAGGGCGGCCCCGGCAGTGACCGCGAAGCGAAGCGACGCGACGCGCGACCCTCACAGAAGCGGCGTGCGGCGACCGGGACCGGCTGGTGGCGGTGAATCCGCGCCGGCGAATCCCCTCCTCTGGTCCTGTATCGAGCCCTCGGCGTCCGCGCCTCCTCCATCTCGTTGCCGTTCTCGACGGCCGCTGATCCAACGGTCCAACACCGGGCTTGCCCAACAGCCCAAGGTATGCCAAGTTGCAACTTGCAAACCCTAGCTTGCTGGTTGCTGTTGTGCTCTACTGGACAGCACGGGTTGGGCTAGAATTTGTGCAATTTTGCCTGTTGGAATTGATGATTCATTTGCCAATTGTTGATTTATGGCATATTTTCTTTGTAGAATTATTTGAGTATGAGGAGGAACATAGACATTGCAAGTTTCGAATTTTATTTTTTGCATTCAATATATTATTACGAGTTCTTCTAAATATATTGCTTTATTTTTAGCTTTTTTATTTATACTTGCATGTATACCGAGCTGTTCTTTGGATTATATATCCAATTATATATTGGAGCACTGGTTTGCCATACCCTAAGTTAAAGTCCTGCTATAACCACTGCCATTGTGTGCATTTTTGGTGTTATTCATTTCATGGATCATCATAGCACTTGGTTCATTCAATTTCCTTTTGTTCATTGTGGATATGGACATGAATCTCTATTTTGCTCTTCGAAGTGAGTGCAACTGTAGCTTCATGTCGGTATGTCTTGCAATCATATACCAACATGCCACCTATGTTAACATAGCACCTCTTAACTTGTGTGCAGTGTTTCACTAGTGATGGCAGAAGTTCAGGATGGCCATTATGATTCGACGTCACAGCCCACTGACAGCTTGCGTGTTGAGCCTATATATGAGTCGTTCCTATGCCCGCTTACCAAACAGGTTATGCGGGATCCTGTCTCTATTGACAGTGGTGTTACGTTTGAACGCGATGCCATTTTGAAGTATTTCAATGAATGTCTTAGCAGTGGGAGGAGGCTTGTCTGCCCTGTAACTAAGATGGAGCTCAGCAACACTGAGTTAAATCCAAGCATAGCTCTGAGGAACACTATTGATGAATGGATGAATCGCAATGAGGCGGCCAAACTTGACGTCGCTCGTAAGTCATTGACTTCTGATAGCACGGAAAGTGATATCCTACAAGCACTCCAGTATGTTGATGAGATATGTCAGAGAAGTCGATCCAGTAGGCAGGTTGTTAGAAGAGATGGATTGATAATCATGATTGCTGACTTGTTGAAGAATAGCAGTACGAAAGTACGGCAAACGGCACTAGAGACTCTTAGCTCCATTGCAAAAGATGACAATGACAATAAGGTTCTTTTCTTTTGATGCTTAATTTGTTAGCAGATCTTAACTTTGTAATATCTTTTGATGCTTCAGATCTTAACTTTATATTATCTTGAAACATTACCTGCAGGTTGAGATTGCTGCTGGAGACAATATTCGCACAATTGTAAAGTTCTTAAATCATGGGCAGACTCAGGAAAAGGAACAAGCTGTGTCTCTGTTGTTTGAACTTTCAGAAAATAAGGCTCTTTCAGAAAGAATTGGCAGTGTTTCTGGATCTATTCTTATACTTGTTGGCTTGTCAAGCAGTAAAGTAGAAAACTTTCTGATTGTTGACAGGGCTGAGAAGACATTGGAAAATTTAGAGAGCTGTGAAAAGAATGTTAGACAGATGGCTGAAAATGGTAGATTGCAACCCCTTCTGAGGCTGCTTCTTGAAGGTATGATTCTTTCATATGTACATGTTTCCTTTTCACAACAAAGTGATTTTGTACTCTTTTACAGCTGTAACATTATCAGTGCCACCCAATATTCTCATTAACACTGTTGCATCTTTATCCCATCAATAGTATTATGCTATGGAACATGCATTTATAGTTCCTTAGCTGTGTCTGCAGTTAGAAGTGTCTCCCTGTTTCACCAGGTTCACCTTTAAGTTCACTAAATTCGTAACGGACATATAATTGTTGTTGTGTGTGCTATTTATCCAATAGACATGGTCACATGAAGAATATATTAGCACAAATGATAAATTATAATGTATGTGCTTGCTACTCAAATTTGGGATGTTTCGTGTTCATCAATTTTTTGTTGTACTAGGTGATTGCCTGTGCGTTGCAACCGGAGCAATAAAAAAAAATTCACATCAACTTTGATGTTGTTTGAGAATCCTTGCCAAACCAATATTAAGACATTGAGGGATTATGACCATTTGATTTGATGCTAGATGTATTCACTGTCATGTTTTTTAAGGGAACTTATCACCGAGTGCATTGTCCAACATAAAACTTCATATCACCAATTATGCAATCAATATTGCTCTATAAACCTTAAGGTCCCTGATTAAAATTTGGTACAAAGTTACTTTCAAAAAAAAATTTGGTACAAAGCTGAGAAAGCTCTCGCTACAACAATTACAAAGCTACAGTTGCGAAGTTGCTTCCCAACTTTGCAACAATCTAGCTGGAGATTTTTCCTCTCTTCACAATCCAAATCAACACAAGGGCCCCTGATAATGACTACAGTACATTACAAGCTGCATTAAGTTGTACAGACCTGTCAATAACATACATAATAGAATGGACGCATAACAGCATTGTTAACTATATATAGCGACATGGTTGCTTACATATGTTAGAAGATAATTTCACAAAGTGCAACCGTAGTATCACCATGTTATATATGGCATTCAGTTGCTTTCTTCCATCATTGTTGTGTTCAATAGCCAGTTGCTTAGAGCAACTTTAATCTTTGGAAAATAGAACTGTGCAAAGATGATGCCACATCAGAGTGTCTGACTTAGCACATCTCACTCTAATGTATAGCGAAGAAATGTGGGACCCACCATCTTGTATAAACAAGTAAAGAATATTTCAACCGTACCTATCACTTGCCTGGCACTCTGGCCGCTGGTGCCTGTCTTCTTCGGGTTTCTCAAGAACAAAATGAATCTTTATGTTAGGAACCAGTTGCTTATTCTAGCTTTGGTGCAAAAAATTTCTTGGCTAGCTCGGGTGCTGCAGTGTACTGCACCTCTGCTGTCTCTCTCTCTCTCCCTTCTTTGCGCCACCTTAGTAACAACACTGGAGCTGCCCTTATTGTGTGCTGTTTGCAGGTTCACCTGACATGCAATTATCTATGGCTGCATACCTTGGAGAGCTTGTTTTAAGCAACGACGTTAAGGTACTTGTGGCACAAAAGGCTGGCTCCACACTAGTCAATATCATGAAAAAAGGGAATAGAGAGGCCAGAGAAGCAGCTTTGAAGGCATTGAACCAAATTTCATCTTATGATGCTAGTGCAAAGATATTAATTGAAGCAGGTATTCTTCCGCCTCTAATCACAGACCTCTTTACTGTTGGCAGTAATCAGCTTCCAATGAGATTGAAGGAGGTCTCAGCGACCATTCTTGCAAATGTTGTGGCATCGGGTGCACGTTTTGAGTCCATTCCACTTGATCATAATAGGCAGACCTTAGTGTCTGAAGACATTGTTCACAATCTGCTTCATCTCATAAGCAACACTGGACCTGCAATTGAGTGTAAGTTGCTCCAGGTGCTCGTTGGTCTAACTGATTCTTCGACATCTGTACAAAATATAGTTGATGCTATCAAAAGTTCAGGTGCTATTGTCAGTTTAATTCAGTTTGTTGAAGCACCACAAAGGGAAGTACGCATGAATTCCATCAAGCTCCTGAATAACATATCACCTTATATGGGTCAAGAACTTGCTGATGCTTTTCGTGGAAACTTTAGTCAACTCAGCAGCTTGGTCAAGGTTATTGTTGATAACAATGGTATTTCTGAAGAGCAAGCAGCTGCTGCTGGCCTTGTAGCTGACCTTCCCATGCGGGACTCAGTCCTCACCAGACGTCTTCTTCAAGATGGGGCATTTGCAACAATCATTAAAAAAGTTACAAGAATCCGACAAGGGGAGATTCGTGGGGGGCGTTTTGTTAACCCATTCCTCGAAGGTCTAGTTAGAATAGTCTCCCGGATCACATTTGTCTTGGATGATGATCCAGATATCATTGCTGTTGCTCGTGATTACAATCTTACTTCACTCTTCACTGATCTGCTTCAGATGAATGGGCTTGACATTGTCCAGATTGTCTCTGCTACTGCGCTAGAGAAACTCTCACAGCAGTCAAAACATCTTACGAAGATACTGCCTGCTCCCAGCCCAGGGTTGTGCTTTTCAATATTTCCATGCCTCAGCCAGAAGACTGTAGCAACTGGGGTTTGTAGAGTTCACTGTGGGATCTGTTCTGCAAGGGAGAGCTTCTGTCTCTTGGAGGGGAAGGCAGTGGAGAAGTTAGTTGCTTGCTTGGATAATAATAATGAGAAAGTAGTCGAAGCTGCTCTAGCAGCACTATCCACTTTACTGGAGGATGGAGTGGACATTGACCAAGGTGTCATGGTGCTGTGTGATGCAGAAGGAATCAACCCGATACTTGAGGTATTGTGTGAGAACAGAAATGAGGCACTGCGCCAGAGAGCGGTGTGGGCAGTGGAGAGAATCCTGAGGATGGACGAAATAGCATATGAGATATCAGGAAACCAAAATGTTGGTACAGCCTTGGTGGAGGCCTTCAGGCATGGTGACTATAGGACAAGACAAGTTGCAGAGCGAGCATTGAAGCATGTAGATAAGCTGCCCAATTTCTCTGGGATATTTTCTAAGATGGGAGCACAATGATGATGTTACATGAAAGTAGTCGAATTGTATTTGACACATGGATTGCAGATCCACTTGAGGCGCAGATGAACACAGGTAGATTGGCTTGTGTTCCCAGCAGGCCTTCATTGGTTTTGCTGACCCGCACTCCAGATAGATGGTGTAGCAATCTGATTGATCGAAGAATTGAAGCATAGCACGTGTTGTATAGTGTATATTTCTACCTGTAAACTTGTCTGTACTTTGGAGATTTGTCAGATTCATAGAATAGGTTGCTATCCCTGTTGTGTTGAGACAATAAATAACGCATAACCCCCAGCTCTGGGTGGAAAAAAGGAAGAAATGTGAAGTATTTGCATCAGATATAATTCATGGTTTTCTGGTTGAGTTTGTTGCGAGATGCGATGTTGCATGGCATGCTATCCTTTCCAGTCCAGCGTGGTATTCACACTTGGTATCGTATTTTTCACCATGAGATCATCTCATATAATCATGGTTATGCATTTGTGCAAATGATTTTTTAATAAGAATCCGGGGACTACATTAAGACAGTGCTCCAGCCAAGTCGCTGGCAACTGCAAACAGAGTATAGGAGTGAGCACCAAACATTACAAGGTCGTCTTTCACCGAGAGGATTTTACCCATCTGTGAAAGCATGTGCTACTTTGTTACATTCTCTAGGAGCACCAACTATCAAAGATTTCAACTGCCGGATGACACCGCCCAGGATTGATAGGTGAAATATTCTTCATGTAATGCTCGGTTTTAAGCAACAGACGCCCAATGCCCAGCTATATCGCTGCTTTGACCCCTTTCAAGCTTGCCCATATTTCTGTGTGCAACGGTGAGATAACATGATTAATTTCCCCAGCTCCAGATTGGATTACATCGCCTTAGTCATCCCAGATCATATATCCCCAGGTCCTGGTCATTTTTTCTTTATCAAAGGAGTCATCAACATTCAGCTTGAGCAATCCTTGCTCAGGTCTTTTCCTGGAACGCCTCAGCCTGCCTTTCTGTGATAATGGCTACTGTCTGCACTTCTACTCTCCTCTTCCCCTGGTTTATTCCTTTAAAACCACCAATTGCCTAAAAACAGCAGGACCTTCAGTTGTGTCGGCTGTTTTAGCTCAATAATGTGCATCACCACATGGTATGCCGAACCTTTTCCAGCTAGCTGCTCCCTCAGCCCCTCAAGATTCAGTTCTCTCCACAGACCACACCTGTTTTGCATATGTACATTTTTGAAATAAGTGTCCTCCATCTTCATCCAATCAGCCACACACATGGCATTTTATGTCAAGTTTAACACCTCTTCTTGCTAAGTTGCAGTTTATAGCGAGGGAGTTATGCGCTGTCTCCAGATGAACTGTTTTACTACGACACTTTAGGTTCCAAATTTTCTGCAACCCACTATTTGCTGCCCGTTCCCCTGCACTTGTGGAGGTAACCCCTGCCTGACTGGACGTTTGCTTGTCATCACAAAAGAGCCTTTGTGCTGATTTAACTGAAAAAAAGTCCTTGTCATCATAGTGTCATGCCAGGATATCTTCCCTACCTTCATGTGTACTGGTACAAACAGGATAGTGTTCGCATCTTCCTCCTAGAATGTTTCTTCAACAAGAGCGTGATTCCATTTACCAGGAACCCATATCCACAAGGTGAGAGACCCTTGTTAGTATATTCCAACCCCTTGGGGCCTATTTGGCAACTTAATATTTTCTTACAAATGAAATTTTAAGCTCCTGTAATTCCTTGGTGCACTAGAAAACCTTTGTATCTAGTTTGGCTTGTAATCTGTTTGGGTAAAAAGAATGGCAGCAGCACAGCAGCCATTTGAATTACATGAACTGAGAGACAGCACAAGCAAATAATTATTTCGATACCGAATTGGATACAGAGAAAATTGGAAAACACAAATCTTGGTCTGCTTCTACTTAATCATCAACTGATATTTATAGAAAAAAACAGTTGATCTGCAAAAGGGTGAAAATCAAAGTACAGAAGAACACACATAACACAGCTGCCAACGATTGGTTCCGTGATGGATGGACACCCTCTCCATTGGCGCTTGTGCGGCATCAATAGCATGATGTGCTCGTTGTATGCCGCAGCTTCCCGGCTACATGGATCAACAGTGTTGACACCAAAAGTGTTTCAACGTGGTTCATGGGTACCACTAGCAGGCAAAACTCGGATGAACTCCATTCCACATGCGACTGTAAAGCCTGAGTCAAGATAATAAACGACAGATGTCCATCTTCTATGGAATTCATCCGGGTCTAGTCGCCTTCCACCTGCGCCCCTCAAGGGTGGAAGCCTCAAGGGTTGGAGGACCGATGATTGGAAAACGAGGAGATCCAAGAGAAAGGATCATGGTCCTACAAACCCTACATATGGTGAGAAGAAGAAATCAAGGAACCTGGAGAACGTCAGAGCACGGACACTGGCAGCAGACACCATCCAGCAACCAGCTTGTGCCCCCACACAGGAGGTTCGAGCAAGAGGACCCTGCAAAAGAGTTGTGGTTAAGTTTGAGGCGACCCTCGACGGCAACGCCTACAAGTAGGATGTGACATCAACGATGCCACCGCCACCAGCCCCAGAGATCTGGAGTTAGGTTTTCACCTAGAGATATCCTACAATTACATGGGTGGAGAGGCTGCAACGACGCCTCCAAGGAGGTTAGCGGCACCCAAGGGCATCGCCGTCGATAGCACCGACAAGTCGGGCATGGCTTTCACCTAGATTCTCGAACCCATAGACTGTAGATCACTTTTTCGGATATAGGACTAGGAGACCACGACACGAGCATGCCCCCACTGCTTGAGCCCTTAACAACTCTCACGGGGCAGCGAGGAATGCCACCACAGGAGGTAAGCCTTAGGACGACGAGACCACGACACGATGGCACGCCAACGCCCCCTCACTGCTTGAGCCCTTGACGGCTTGCACAAGGCAGTGAGGAGCGCCACCACAGGAGGTGGTGTGCCATAGGGCGACAAGACCACGATACGATGGCATGCCAACGCTCCTCTCGGCTTGAGCCCTTGACGGCTCGCACAAGGCAGCGAGGAGCGCCACCACTGGAGGTGGTACCCATGCACCCTAGCCGTCAGCGACCTGCCCAACACCAGCTGCTTTGCCACCGTGCCCTTGCCCGCAGCGAGCAGGCAGAAGAGCGGGAGGTAGACGCCAGGTCATGGAGCGTGAGACGGAAGGGGTAGTTGGCGTCGGAGGCGGCGAGACAGAGGACAGGCGCCGGAGCCATTGGGCCGAGGCCACTCCTACGTGAACGTGAGGAGCCAGCGCCTAGGACTCTAGGAGACGGAGATGCTGCCGCGCCCTAGCACTTGATGGAGCACTACTGTCACCGCCATATGATCGCCGAGCCACGGCGGCGCTAGATAGGAAGAGAACAGATCCAGACGCCGAAGCTTCAGTCACGCTGCCGAAGGTAGCCACAGATGCGTGTGGAGCTGGGTGCTCGTGACGGCGCAGCCGTCTTTCGCAACATGCGGCCACGGCCACGAGCACATTCGGCGCCCACCACAGCAGCAAAAGCATGAGAAAGCCTAGAGCCGCATAGTCGTCGAGCTGTCATCTTCCCCTAGAGATCCGCCCCCACACTCATGGATCTGGCCACTAGAAACCAGGATGTGGCAAGAGTAGGACTAAATCGAAGAAGTTTGAGAGAGATTTGAAAATACGGGAAAGAGAGGAAGCAATGGAGAATGAGCACGCAGGCAGAGAGCTTTTTGCCTGCAGCCCGCTGGCCGCCGCCGCCACGGTCACGGATGCTGAGTAGGTGTAGCGGAGGCGGCTGAGTTGGCCGGAGGGGGCGGAGGCTTCCTAGCTGGGTGGTCGCCCTCGGGTCGCCTCACGAGGGAGGCGACGCGGTTTCTCCTCTTTGCTTCCTGGCTATGCGGTCGTCTTCGGGTGGCAATGTTCGGCAACCATCGACATGTCTTTGTCATGGGAATTGTAACTTGTTGTTTCTTCTTGTGTATATGGTGGTGGTTGTTTCGTTTGTACGTGGTGTTGCTGGTGCTCTCCTTCTCACCTCTTTGCTTTTGTAACTCCGGGTTCGTGACCCAACATTGTAACTACCATTATTGGTTTTTGCCGAAATATGTGGTAATGAATTCAGGTGGGGATAGTTCATCACCCCCAGTGACCTTTCAAAAATACGTGGTTCATGGGTATCGCCAATAGGTTATAAACATTATAGACGTGTTGGAGACCAAGTGGCGCAAGAAACTAGCAAACGAAACATGCGAGGAAGATGGCGAGCCACGCGAGCCACCTCCAGTCGGCTTATTAGCTGACTCTACTTGTCTAAGTCAGCTTAGCCAACTGCTAGGGTCGGCCAAGCCGACCCCCCGATCCAGCCTGAGGCAGGGCTCCCGAGCCCACAAAAGTTGGCTTAGCCGACTCCTAGTGTTCCCTGCTGATTCTGAGTCGGTTTATTTTCAAATTGGGGTTTGGCAAGTTTTTGATGTGGGAAACTTGGAGAACATGTTTTGCACTTGTTTTCTACTTGGATAAGACCACCCCTCTATATATGAGAGGATCATGGCCGATTGAGTTCCCAACTATCCAATCATCGAAAAACACATCTACTACACCCTTTACCCCTTTTCCAACCCCTCCTGCTATTCATCGCATCTCCCGGCGAGATTTGGTGGCATTTTAGGTGGCCTTGCTGGTGCTAGGACACCCTCCACGTGCTCCTCCCCGATAGGTCTTCTCAGAAGAAGTTTGGGACTCTATCAAGCTAAGAACGGGCTCAACATCAGCCTAACCGATCTCTAGAACGATTTCATCAATCACGCTGTGTTCTTGCTATGTTGAAGGTTATGTGCAACCTCTTGGGCGTGCTAGCCCCTACTACTGGTGTGTAATTCAGACACCCTCTGATGTCAATACACTTTCTGGTGACTCCACTAGGGAAGAAAAAGAAGAACAAGATCCAATCTACTAGCAACATGGGGAGCAAAGGTGATGGTAGCGAGAAGAGC